TCAGGGATTCAGATGGACAATTGTAAATGAAGGTTTGTTCGGTGTCCTTAACTTGCATGGGTCATCTTGAAAATCACAGCTGTGACCAAGAAAGCAGATCCTCCATCCCCTCCGAGTTAACAAGACAGGATTTTAACAGTGTTCAACAATTTGAAGTGATTTTGTTATTTCTGAATTAAACCTTTGATAAAAAGTCCATCCTCCTCACCCACTTCCACTCATCAGCCCATGAGTGGTTTGACATTTCCACAGACTCTTCTCCATCATTGACCAGAATTACACCTGCTGTGTCTTCAGTCAAAACAGTCTGTTTTGTAGTTCAATCGATCTGAATACCAGAGACATTGTAACTATTTAAAAGCTAAGGATTAAAACCCTGAAAATTGAGAATTGGTGTTTACCTTTGAAGTAATTGAAGCAAGCTGTAATATGGAAATACAAAACGAAACACCAAAATGCCTGTCTCCACGCTGTCATGATATGATGCAACAGCCATTTGATTTCAGTTAAGTTGTTTTAGTGTTTGTTGGCATGCAGCTGTATTAAACACACCTTGCAGTATCGTCTTTTCTTCTCTTTTTTTGGATGTCACATTTTTTGGATGGAGAGTAGAGGTAGAGTTGTTCTGGTGCCTTTGTTACGTATTTCCAAAATAGTGTTTATTGTAACCGGGGTCGCTGGATTCATGCCATAGTTTTCAGTTTCTTAGAAGAGTCAGACCCCTAAGCATTTTCCTGTGGAAATGCAAACTCCTGCATAACCAATTTCAGCCTGCTGAGGACAGGCTTTTCTTAGCTGCCATAGACAAGCCTCTCGGAATTAGCCCACTAATCCCTAAGTGGGATCAAAATGCAAAGGCTGAAAAAGCATTGTGCTTGGATACTTTGCTTTTAATTTCTAATATGCATTATTAAATCAAGCTCTCATTTTAATTACAGTATTTGTTTAGATATTCCTTGGGTTATTTAGCATGTAATTTGAATGAGGAAAATACTAAGGAGGTTTCCATAGAAAGTGTTACCAAGTTAATGACCTGAAGATTCAAAGTGCCAGCCCTAAACCATACCTCCGAGTTCTGTGGCTTTCCCAAGCATGAATTCAGGCACGCAGTTGTTACGTTAGAGTCCCCATAATGTCCTGGGCAGCTGGATTGTGTTTGCAGGTGCTGGCTGCCTTGTCGCAGATGGTCAGTGTTCTCCAACATACTCTTCTTCTCTAATTTTCTCGCTCCTTCACTCACTGTAGGGCCTTTTGGGAATGAGCGTGCACACCCATTTTGTGCCACCCTGCAGTGCCTCCGTTCTGCTCTGTGTGTCAGCGCGTGCACTCTCAGATGCCTTCTCTCTTGCTTCCCCTGTTCCATCTCTTTTTGAGTAGTTGCCACAGAGAGCTTTTGAGCATAAGTACTTGGAATTGCACTTCTGCTATGACTTTCCATGATTTTTCATAGCTGGTAGTTTCTGTCTCGGAAGAGGCTGGTATATAAAATCTCTGTTCAAGAAATGCTCTAAGAATTACTCTGCTTAATAATGGCAGCTGTCTCCCACTGCTCTCAATAAGAGTATGTCAGAGAAGACAGCCTTTTGTAAAGCAGAGACTCGTCTCAGTCATTGAGAATGGTAGGAAATGAGTATCTCTTTTTGAAAAGGCAATCTAAGGGCAGCTTGTCTTTGTGTATGTGGAAAGAACCATTCATAGTTAAAATCCTAGCCTTTCTCCTTTTCTTCTATTTTTCCTTTAGAAAAATAAATCTTTAGGTATAATCTAGGCACAGTACCATCTAAACACATTTTTTACTGTTTTTGAAGCAAATGGGAAGTTTGCAGTGTTGGAGTTATTCTTGTAAGATGTTTCACTGTTTAAGTGATGCTCTGTCTAAGGTTCCCCAAGGTGGCTGTTTTGAGTCCAGGTTTGTTAGATTCTGATTTAGAACATTTAGCATGATTATTCTTCAGGAGTCAATATTTTCCATAGCTGAGACGGAGATCAAATGCCTCCAATTAATGCAAAATTCAAATTAGTCTTGAACTATGGTACTATAACTGGCATCTCAATAATGTATTAGCCACAGGAGGAAGCGGGTTTGTCAACGTACCATCACACAAAGCTTTGAGTATTCATCTAATCTCTTCTGGGATCATATTCATACATCTTGTTGCTCTCTTGAAATACACTTTCAGCGTACTGAATGATACAAGAATATCTGATGCAGCAAGCTGTGGAAGCGTGAGATGCAGAGCCGTTTTAGTTGATGTATTTGAAGGTGGATAACCTTAAAAATCAATAAAGCCTCCTGCACCACTCAGAATCGTGATGGACTGTTCCTCGCTGATCCTCTTGCTTAGGCTTGGAATGACTGATGCTGTGCTGCTGCGGATTCTCGGCACAAGCTGAGGCAATGGCTGGAGCGAGGCATCTACTAGCGGAGCTGCTCTTTTGAGCAAATCTGTATGTCTGCTCTTAGAATTTGTTAACTGAAGTGCAGCTGTTGGTGGGGTTTTTCAGAGTTTGTTTGGGTTTTTTTTTCTTCATGATCTAGTTTTCCAACCAGGCTACACAAGGGCTTGAAGAGAGAGAGGACGTACAATGGCAGGAAAGAAGTTCTCAAAGGCTCAGATGGTATTTTCCAGTTGCTTGTGAACACGGCATTTCCTCTTTGGACACAGTGTCAGCTCATAGTGCCCCAATTACAGAAATGGAAGAAATTATTAAATAGAAAATTTTAAATTTGTGGAAAGTTTGGTAAGGCTATCACCTAAAAAAGGTGACAAATGCAGAGCTTCCTACTCTTTACAAAAGCAAAGTTTGGAAGTTGAAATAGATAGTTTTTGAAATACCAGTGACACCTCAGAAAGTGTCCCATTTGAAAGACAAAGTGTTTGAATATCTAGAAGCCCAAATCATAAATAGGAGTTGATGGGAAGGAGGGTGGCTGGGAGGTCTTGAAGATAGATTTTGCAAAGAGTCTGAATAAAACACTCTGGATTTTCTAACAGTTCTTTTGAATAAACATCATAGAAAATTATCTAGAATTAATTGACAAAATCTGGAGGAGCAGGTAGAGGCAGAGAATGAAGTATCGGATGTTATGCTCAACCTAGTAAAAGAAAATGTATTTTCTTTGCTGACTTCACCTTATGCAGGTACTAGGAGAGTACAGAGATATTCTCCCTCTCCTATTTTTGTAAGGGACTAGCTTCTGCTACCTCTGATCATATGCGTAAAAAGGCAGCCTGTTACTCTTAGGCAGAGTGAATCTAGTGATAGCGATAAAGAGTTTCTTTGAAGAAAAGCCCTAGAAAAATCCAGTCTCAGGAATAAACTCCCACTGAGAGTTTACTGAGATTTTGCCACTCTTCTGTGTATCAGTAATAGAAGCAGACCATGGAGACAGTGTAAATTGATGTCATACCCAAGGTGTATGTGTGGGGGAAAGATCAGAGAAGTTTTTGCAAGTCACTCATGCTGAAAACAGATCTCTGAATGATGCTGTTCTCCTTATGGACCGCCTGTCTGGAGTTCTTCAGGGAATTGTAGCTGAAGGTGGAAAAAGGACAGGAGGTGAGAGCAACAGTTCTGGTCACATGAGATGTCCCCTAATTCTCGAGTTATAACGTTATATGAAAGATTATCAAGGATATGGGAAAATTACTTGATTTTAATATTGTCAAATATTTATGAGAAGACCAGCTTTCAAACTGATGATACTGCCTACTGCTGTAGGGATACCTGCACCTGCCTCTCTGATGTCCTTTGCAGCCCTCTTAAGCCGGGCACCTGGCCATTACCTTTCTCAGCGCAGGAGCCTGTGCCCTCCCTGCAGACGGGGTTGGCACTTGGGCTCCCTTTGTCTGCTGCCTTCATCCACCAAGAGCTGGAGTTAGCTCAGCACCTGCATACCTACAGTCTTTTGAAGATAAAAAAGGAGTTAACTCTTGGCCAGACAGCTTTAAACAAATATCATCTGAGCTCTGTCAAGACTTCAGTAACCCGATGCCATGAGCTGTACTCTGTCTTCATGCTATGCTGACCGGGTATTGCTTGTTGTCTGCAGTAGTGACAAGGTTTCCTGAAGCATATGAGTTCAGTTAATGGCATTTGGAAGGGTATGACACTGGAGTTGTCTGTCTGTCTGTCTATGTAATCGGCACTGGGAATGGGCAGCTGTGATTCAGCGAGGAGCTCCAGGGGTTGGGTGGGAAACACAAAGTACGTTCCAGTTCAGTCTGCATACAGCATCAGTTACATTTAAGTGTTTATTGATGTTAATTTAGAAGTCTCTACAGTTTGAAACCATGACATCTTTCACAGATATGTCATGTTGGATAACTTTCATCCTTTTTATTTTCTGCTTGAAAAATCAAGATAGTTCCCTTCAGTCATGAGAATTTTTTATTCTAGATACAGTAAGCTTCGTCATAACACTGTAGCTGAAACTAAAGTATTTTAGTAATTGCTGATAAATATGTTTTCTTAAAAAAAAAGAAACAGTTTGCCCTAGAACAGTTTGGAGTGACTTTGGAGAGTTTACCAGAGTAGTAAACATAGAGCTGTTACCTGTGCCGTAGGTAGTCATCCTCTCTTCTTGCAAAAGGCTGGCAGACTCTAATTGTTATGTTTCGCACTGTGAGTAGGTCACTCTATTATCTTTCCCTTCCAAAAAATGAAGGATGAAAAATTCAAGCACAGATGACAAAGGCTTTATTGTTGGGTTATTTTTCTTTCAAATATGAGGTGTGATTAAATGTATGCTGTCAAAGAGGGATTCTTTATAGGTTGATACTATTGATCAGTATTTGAGACCTGCCAGCAGCATTATTACTTTACGTGTAAGAAAATCTAATAGAAAATTATTAAGTTGATGTTTTAGTTCCTATAGTGAGAACATTTCAGGTATTCATCTCATATCGTTGCAGAAATTGCTTGGCTCAAGTAGATACCACAAAATCATGTTTTAATGATTTTTTTCCTTTTTCCATCTTTTATTTTTTTTCAGTCACATGACACAATCAGCCACATTTGAAGACCCTCGAATAGAGAGCTGCCAAATAACCCCTCCAGCCCCTCGGAAAGTGGAAATGAGGAGGGATCCTGTGCTAGGATTTGGGTTTGTGGCTGGTAGTGAAAAGCCAGTTGTTGTACGCTCAGTAACACCAGGTATGTTTTCCCCACCTGACCCTAAAACCAAACTTGGGTTTAATCTACTGAGATGAAATACAATTCAAATTTGAGTACTGTTAAAATACTCAAGCAGACAAAGTAATCACAAATACTAGGTAGGATTTTAACCCTTGTATTACTAAGTAGTTGTGCTCCTTGCACTCATTTTTGAACGTTGGATAAATGTGTTAACACAAAGCCAGTTTCAGATTATTGCGCTGAGCTGTTACTGTTGTTTGCCTGAAAAAAAGTTGACCCACCTCATTCAAGGAAAGGTTTTCTCTGTTATGTTTATATTGGTTTGATGTCACCCTCATTGCCATTGAATCAGCATTTTCAAGAGGTATGTTGAGTTGTGAGATTAAAACTTACATATTTTTCATTCTTTTAATCATCAGCTTCCTAAGGACAAACTAGGTTTCCACCTATAATATTTGGTTCTAACTATAATTGGTTTTGAAAAAGGGGGTGTTATTGCTGGCTTTTTTTAAATGAATACTTCTGTATAATTATGTGGCAAAAAGCCATGTCAAAACAGATCCCTAAACATCTTACCTGGAGTGAAAATTAGTGAGGTTTGTGGTATTTTTGAACATATAGGTGACCAGACCTGGGACTGCTCAGTCTCCCAAATAGTGGGCTCCTGCTCTCTCTGCTTAAAAGTTCAGTTGTTATGTAAAATTGCCTTGGAGCCAAGGGCAGGGGTTTGACTTTGCTCTTGTTCAATATGTTCTCCAGAACACCCACAGAGAGCAGAGAAGAGGCAAAATCGACTTTGTGAAGTTCTGATGTCATTTACCCACGTGTGTGCATTGATTATATTTGTATTGCCTTCATATGAAATGAGTGGTGTAACTAATATTTGAACTAGATCCAAACAGTTCTTTTCTCCCAAGTTAACATTATTAATGTAGTTTTGTGTTAAAGTTCAGTTTGGAAAAGGTGTTTATTATATTGTGTTCCAAGTGAACAGGAGGACAGATGAACTCATTTTCCTACATGGATTTGTATCCATTTATGCTGCATATATAAGTGAAGTAAATTTTTGAAACCAAACAGAGGAAAGGAACAGTATTAGCTCACTTGTTAAATGCATTGGTTTTGATACTGAAACATTTTCTTTTAAGACTTTATCTTCATATTAGTAATATTATTGGGTTTTTTATGTATCATAATTGCAGAGTCTAAAGACAGAAGACTAGAGAGGATATATCTTTTCACTCGCAGTTGTGATGTCACACCCTCTTCTGGGCATGTAATTGTGCTGAGAAGCAAAGTGTTATGTGCATATTATACAGCATAAACTTAATATGCATTTCAGCAGTGTCAGAATCCAAAGTACATAGACACATACATGTCTGATTCTCTACTCAGACTAATGCTAAATATCTGTGTCTAACTGCAAGTGGCAATGCTTTTGGATGTACATAAAACTTGTGTTTACGAAGTGGTAGGAATCCAGAGGACAAGAGACACAAGGACTGGAGGTATAGAAACTTACTGTCTTCAGATTGAAGGAAAAAGGTTTGTTTTGCCCAGAATGGAAAAGTCAGAGGAAAGACCTGTGAATGACTTTCAAATACATAAGTGATGTTTCATAGGAAGGAGGGATAAGATGTTCTGCAGTGTTAACCTTGCCTGGGAGAAGAAACAATTGGTTGCAGCAAGGAAGATCTGATGTAGACACTGGGGAAAAAGACTTCCCGATCTTAACAGCAGATAAGCAGGATGATTTATTTACAGGAAAAGGAGTCATCCTCAGGGTGTTCTTACAAGAATATTACACAAGCATTGATCAGGGTGGGGTAAGGTATGGTTGATCACACCTTAAAGGGTGAATTAGGCCACCTCCTGCAGGTCCTTTTGGCCCTCCAGAAAATCAAGCCCTTATTTTGAGGTGCCTACATGTGGGTTTGGATCTTAACTTGAGGAACTTCAGTAGAGACTGCTAAACCACTAGCTTTCAACATTTTCCTGTTGAGGAAGTACTGGTAATGTCAGAAATAGTGTTAGTGTTAAATATGCCGTTAGTTGAAGAAAAAAACACTTATAGTACGTGAACAACAGAGTGTGTCTGTGCATTTACAATGGTCTACTAACTTTTGCTTTTTTTTTTCATTTGTCTCCAGGCGGCCCCTCTGAAGGAAAGCTTATACCAGGGGATCAGATCATAATGATTAATGATGAGCCAGTCAGCACTGCTCCAAGGGAGAGAGTCATCGACCTTGTCAGGTAGTTGATGTTCTGTCACTTAAACTATGAACCCAGTGGCTTATTGCCTGTGCAGTCATTTGATAATACAGCAAGTCTTGCCGCCTTATGGCTGAGAAAAGAGAAAATAATGTTATTTAGTCATAATGAAGAATAGTGAAGTATTTTAGTATTGAAATCAAGTGCCCTCTTAAATGTCTGCTGGATAGCTGAAGAAGTATAAGATATTGGAACAGTTCCAAAATACCTGAGTATCAAAAGAGGAACATCATTCTCCTGATACTTATTTTTGGTATATGTTGTTGACAAAAAATTCCTGGAGCAAGGTAGTTCCAGTCACTATTGCTCTCTTGCTTTGGTCACATGAGGAAAGTGAATGGTCTGTCTTATGTGAAGAGGAAAGAAAATGTGGTGGAGTGATATTTGAGAGCAGATGGGTGCCTATAAATGGGAGTCTGTAGGGAAGCTCAAAGAGTGTTTGGGTAGATTGCAGGTAGGTGAGGTTTTGTGAGAAGACCAGGCAGGGCTGTGTAGATAGGAGGCAGAAAACAAGACAAAAAAGTGACTGTGGAGAATGCAGGAAAGGAAAAATGTCAATATTTGTAATGGGATGTAAAAGGAAAGAAAGGACAGGGACTGACAGATGCTCAGGATGTAGAAAAAGATGTGGTGTGGATGACATCATAAGCTTTGCATTTTGAGTAACAAGAAATGTTACTGCATTGCATAGAAAAATGACTAGTAATTAAAAAATTAAACATAAATATTATTTTAAATTTCAGTAGCATGGCTGCTGGACATCAGTTTCATTTCTGTATTTTCCTTCTCATTGGTGTAAATGCTGAATTGGTGGGTCTAGTCCATGTCTGGAGACACTCAAGTTTTAACTGTGCAGGTACCTCTCCTCAGAACTGATAACTGTCAGTGTGACCCATGTAATTTTGAAAAGTCACATTTCCTTCCAGAAATTTGGGCAGGAGGTGTTGTGGTGGGTTGACCTTGACTAGAGGCCAGGTGCCCACCAAAGCCGCTCTATCACTCCCTCTCCTCAGCTGGACAGGGAAGAGAAAAATACAGTGAGAATCTTACGGTTTGAGATAAGGACAGGGACAGATCATTCAACAGTTACCGTTAAGGGAGAGACAGATTCAACTTGGGGAAATTAGTTTAATTTATTGCCAATCAAAATCAGAGCAGAATAATGAGAGATAAGACCAGGTCTTAAAACATCTTCCACCAACACTCCCTTCTTCCTGGGCTCAACTTTGCTCCTGATTTTCTCTACCACCTCCCCTCCAAGTGGCGCAGGGGGTCAGGGAATGGGGGTTGTGGTCAGTTCATCACACGCTGTCTCTGCCGCTCCTTCCTCCTCATGGGGAGGCCTCCTCACACTCTTCCTCTGCTCCAGCGTGGAGTCCCTCCCACGAGAGACAGTCCTCCACAAACTTCTCCAACGTGAGTGCTTCCCATGGGCTGCGGTTCTTCATGAACTGCTCCAGCCTGGATCCCTTCCATGGGGTGTCATCCTTCAGGAACAGACAGCTCCAGCGTGGGCCCCCCACAGGGTCACAAATCCTGCCAGCAAACCTGTTCCAGCCTGGACTTCTCTCTTCATGGGGCCACAGCTCCTGGCAGGAGCCTGCTCCAATGCAGGCTTCCCACAGGGTCACAGCCTCCTTCGGGCACCCACCTGCTCCAGCATGGGGCCCTCCCCGGGCTGCAGGTGGAGATCTGCTCCAGCGTGGAGCTCCATGGCTGCAGGGGCACAGCCGGCCTCACTATGGGCTTCCCTAGGGGCTGCCGGGGAACCTCTGCTCCGGCACCTGGAGCTCCTCCTGTCCCTCCTTCTGCACTGACCTGGTGGTCTGTAGAGTTGTTTTCACATGTTCTCACTCCTCTCTCTGGCTGCAAATGCTGTGTGCTGGTTTTTTCCTGCCTTTTTAAATATATCATCCCAGAGGTGTTACCACCATCGCTGATGGGCTCAGCCTTGGCCAGTGGTAGGTCTGTCTTGGAGCCAGCTGGCACTGGCTCTATTGGACATAGGGGAAGCTTCTAGCAGCTTCTCATAGAAGCCACCCCTGCAACCCCCACCACTACCTAAACCTTGCCATGCAAACCCAGTGCCATGATAGTTGTACTCCCCTTGCAAATCACAACTGGAGCAAATGGGTGCTCATTTGCTGGGGATTCAGCTGTGAAGCAAACTTCCAAAAGAGATACAGGAATGGCATAAAGATGCCAGCAACGTTGATCCTTTGATCTGTGCTAGGTAGGTTTGGACAAAATACAATGAATTTGCAGATTTTAAAAAAAGGTGTTGACCTGCAAGTCAACTAACAGAAACACAGCACATTAGGAGGGGACTTCGACACTGTTGTTTTTTGTGACAAAGAGACCCCATGAACTGCAGGAACTGTCCTGTGGCTAATAAATTTCTGTCCTATGCTCTGTATTGACGAACAGCATAAGCCTCACAAATGGGTCTTAAACTCATTTTTTATGTCTTTGCTTCTGCATAAAGTGATCATATTGCAGTCTTCATTCTTTCCCTGATTCTTTGATATGTAAGTAATCAGAATTAGGATCTCTATCTCATTTCTCTGCTACCAGCAATATATAGTAATAACAACAAGGAAAATAGACTGATTAGACCTGAGAAAAACTGGCTTTATTGTCTGCCTTCAAATGAGAAACTGAATAAGAATGTCACCTTTCCCAATTACGTTGACTCCATAGGTCGTATCTTAAATTAAGTGTTGTTGCATTCCAGGGGAAGCTGTTGGTGACACTTTTCTTACTCTGTAATTCTGCCCCTGCTCTCAAAATCTATCTGCTGTTGGGATTTTGACAGAGAATTATTCTTTGATGAGACTCAGAGTGAAATGTATTGGGGCTGTATATTACAGCATTTGAAATGAAGAGATTTCTTTTCATCACAATGTGGACACCTGGAATGATTAGACACTGTCACTGTACAGTCCTGACACCATAGCAGAAGCAATTTTTTACACCAATGAAATAATGAATCCCTTCTGTATAATAGAAAGTTTTCAAATGGGTTAGAAACATCTGCAAGTTTGAAAATGCTTGCTTTCAGTTTTCAATGTGCATGGAAGCAATTTCAAAATCTTGTTTTCTGGTTGGTAGCAGTGTATCTGTGGTCAGCAATGGGTATGTTTTAGATGCATAGGTTAGGCAACGGGCATAATCACAAAATCATAGAAGAATTGAGGTGGGATTTCTGGAGGTCATCCAGTGCAAGCACTTGTTCAAAGCAAGCTAGTGTCAAAGTTGGATGTGGCTGCTCAGCAATTGTCAAGTTTTGAATATCTCCAAAGATGGAGATTTCACAACCACACTGGGCATATGTTTCAGTTCTTAACCAGTGGCCTTTCAAAGATTATAGAAAGCAGCTTTTACAAGACATGAGTCAACTCTGTCAGCAGCCTTAGATGCGTCCTGTGGGAGAAGGATGGACTTCACAACTCTATGAGAGTTATATTCCGAAGCCGTTTATTGTCTTGTCTGACTCCAATATATATCATAATCTTTGTTTGCGCACACACACTCATGATTGGTTACAGCTTGTTACACACATTATTGCAATTGGCTATATACAAAATTCACGCGCTGTCCATGTGCCTCTCACACAGTCAGGATTCGCTGCCTGCAGGTGTTCCTGTTTTCCTCGCTTCTTCTTAGCTGTTTACCACAGCTCCTTCTCCTCAAGGCCGAGCCGTGCAGATATCCAGCTGTTTACCAGCTTCTCAGTGCCACAGCACCTTCTCCTTAAGGTCGAGCCGTGCAGATCAACACCACAGCTCCTTCTCCTTAAGGTCAAGCTGTGCAGGGTGATCCCAACAGCATCCCATCTAGGCCCATGGACTTGTGAGTGTCCCTCTTGCCTAAGCAATCCCTAATTCAGTCTTTGTCTGCCATGGGTAGTACCTCTGTTCCCTAAATTCTGCCACTAAGCATAGGGACCAGGGTGGCAGATCTTGTCACTAAAAGTCAAAGCCAAGAAAGCATCAAGTTCCTCAAGCCTTTTCAATGTCTTTCATTAGGTTGCCCACCCCATTCAGAAGCAAGTTCATATTTCCCTTGGCTTTCACTGCTGATGTACCTGTAGAGGCGCTTCTTGTTACCCTTCGCATCCTGTACCAGTTTCAGTGCTGGCTGGGCTTTGCAAACTCCATCCCTGCCTGGCCAGACGGGGCTTCTGTGTTTGTTGTGGGTCACATCTCTCCATTTCCGTCTCTGGTTGGCTTCCATTTTGCGCTAGGTCTCTGTCAGGCGTTCCCTGTGGAGCCACCCTGGTGTCCTGCTGTGCCTGCCTGCTTCTTTGCAGACTGGAATAGACCATTCTGGCACTTGGAGGAGGCTCTCCATGAAGATAACCCAGCTCTACAGGGCTCTGACCTTTCAGAGCTTCTTCCCACAGGACCCTTCCTGCTAGTGCCCTGGACAAGCTGAAGTCTGCTCTTTAGTTTGGACTCCTCTTCCTCCCTTCCCTGAGCATCTTTCTTACACTGTACCATCTCATGGGCACTGCAGCAAATCAATGAAAAATTGATATTCCAACACTGTATTTTTTTCTGTGATTGCATGGTCTCTGGCTGATTAGGTGTAACAAGGTATATTTTATATTCATGATGAGAAATTCTGTGGCTATTTTTACGCAGCTTTCCCTTAAAGCTTTTTGTAAAGTCAAGAAATGATTTGTCTTTATAATTGCAGAGAGTATGGAAAAAATTAATTCTACTTTCCAAATACAGACATAAAGATCATAGTATGCCAAACAGGAAAAAAAACCCAAACTGCATGAGAAAAAAAGACAGATTTCATAACTAGATAAGCATCATGCCTTATCAAGCTTAGCAAGATTGAAAACTTCCAAGCAAAACTATACACAAATGTTAGATGTTAAGTCAACCTTGAACATTAAGCAGAGTTTTTAGTGTAAGACAATGTTTAATTATTTTCCAAGAAAACATTACCGGGACATTTACTTATGAAAA